TTTTGGGATTCACGTCGGTTACAGTCTACAAGACATTTTCCCTTGTAACTTGCTTTTCACTTTAGTAATCGATTTTCCCAAAGCCAATCTTTGGAAATCCAGCTTTTAATTGAACCAACTATAACAATCGTTGTTAGTGCAAAAACAATTTTAGTTTGTTTAGGAAAAGCCTGACTCGGATTATATTGTCTCTCTGAGAATTGAACCTGATCTCAGTTTCCCTTAGCGGACCACCACTAAGTGTGTTCACAAGAAGTCGGGTTTGCTATTTGACGATCTTTCCTGCCAACTTTAAATCAGAACAACATCCAGACCAACGTCGACTATTTGAAATAAAAGTGTTTTGATTTTATAGGATATGTCGATTATCTATCCAAGTTTCCAGAAAACTGAGAGTGACATCCTGAAGATGTTAAGAGCTTTTCAATTCTCACATACTGAATTGAGTTATTGCTTAACCTTTTGGCTTGTGAGAAAATTAGTTAAGCATGACAGAAGTCATACTTATCATGTTTAAAAATAAAACTTGAAAATAAAAAATAAAGATGAAAACGAAAGAAGAAAAACAAAAGTTTTATAAAAATTGAAATCTCTTAAAACTATTGAATCTAAAAACAAAGCTATTGAACCTAAAAACAAGTGTAGTATTAGCCTTACCCCAAGGGGTATTTATAGTTTCTAAAATACTAGATATAAACATAGAAATTAAAAGAAAAATAATCCTAAAGATAATTCCAAATGTTTTCCAAATTCAAACTTTAAAATGTAAAAATAAATCTCCTAAGATATCTTTGTCCGTCCACCTTCCAGAATATGCTGACTAGATCTTCTAGAAAATTGTTGTTTACTGAACCTTCTATAATCTTCCACGTCAGACCGTGTCATGGCCAGAGTCGTGCCCATGTCTCCAGTCATGACCGAATAATAAAAAAATGACAGAATACTTTTTTTTTACTGCTAATTCTGAAAAATAAGATCTTGTATGAAAATAAGCACAATACAACCAAATCAACATTAATAAATCCATAAAATTGAAGAATTGATTAGCAAATATTATCAAGTAAGAACACTCATCAAATTCCCCCTCACTTTTCTCATGATTGTCCTCAAGTATGTTTTAATTAAATCAACCAAAGACTCCATTTACCTTTCTTTGCCAAGTCTCACATCAAAGGAAGCAATGTAAGTAGAGACCATAATAATCATCTAAGTCAAGACACTAATCAATTGAACAACACTAATTGGAACAAGGTAAATATAATTGTGACATCCACTTATTTATCAATCTCATGCCACCTAACTCAACACCTTACCAGGATTCACTCAAATCACTCAATGTGCTTGGGTATAGAAACACACAACGTCAGAACCGACATGATATTATCATATGCCTGCAAGTAAATCAAATCTTCATTACTAATAAGAACAATATGCATAAATCAAAGGGTCTTTTATTGGTTGTAACGGTGCTTAGGTAAATGTGGGGGAAAAAGGCTAATAATGTGGCTAAAATTCAAGACAAAGAACTAACAAATAACAAGTTCAACTCCATCAATCAACTAAGTACAACAATATAAAAAATACAAACCATCAAACAACACCTTTCCTTTCAAATTGAATACGACTTTTCCATACTTTTGTTGTTGTTTTGTTTTTCCACTTTTTCTCATGTCTTTTTCTGTTTTCTTTTCTTTTTTTCCTTTTTTAGAATTGCTCTTTTTTTTGAAAAAAATAAGAACTTTTTTCTTTTGAACATGACTTTTTTTCTAACACCACAAAAATTCTTCTGTTCATGGAGCATGATCATACAATGAATAAATTGTTCACTTGTCCTGAAAAGGGTAAAAAAGATGGATAAAATAAAAAGTCTCGGGTTTATAAATGTGGTGAAAACAAAGAATGAGAATAGACTCAAGAGTGGTTAACTAGGAGAAAATGCATTAATAGGCAATTTAGTAGGGAAACGGAGTGGTTAATCCTAAGGTGCCCAAATCATTTTTAAGCATCATGTTCATGTGTAATCTCGATAGTATTTAAAATCTAGGTTCTAGAATACAAATGTCAAATTCGACACTCAATCCAACAAAATGAGTGCAAAATGATATGTTCGTAAAGGCTCAAATCTCAAAAGCCCGAGCAAACTAAAAACCTAAGTTCACCCGATGGCCGACTAACATACATTATAAAAAAGAAAAGTTCAACTTGCCTCAAGGAAGAAGGCGAGTCGTTATTGTAAGCGATGAAACGGTGTATATAATGTAAGGTCGGATAGTGTATATGATGAGCTCGAATCGAGCGAGTGTTGAACGTATGACCAACCAATCCGATGAGTACCTTATAAGCCATATCGACATCAAAGTCCTGTGGAATCTCGAGCAGAGCAATCAGAGACTCATGACTCGTGACATCCACCATGAACCCCATAGTAAGATTAAAATAAAAAATAGACATGGAAAGTTGATTTCCGTATAATCGAAAGGTAACGACATCAGGAGAGGTAACATTAATAAGACGATGTTGTGTAAAAGTGAAAGTGGCATAAAATTCAAAGACAAGTTCATAAAATGTATCACAATTAATCATTGGATATAAATTCTAACCAATTACAGCAAAGTAAACATGTATAGATTTGCGTAAATACAAAGTTTCCAAAGTTTGAGTGAAAATATATTTACCTACACAAAAAGGATGATGTCTTACCTATTCAAAATGCACTAACTCCTCATTGGTTAACTATAAATAACCTTACAGAGTTTATTCTGTATGAATAACATACGATCAACCATGTCGATTACATTATGGATTCTCATGGACAGGCGGTGGACTCTCAGGAGGAGCAAATCGTTCAGGATAGAGGATTGAGATGGAGAAGTGGGCTGCCTGGTTTGATGTCATGAACTAAAAGTATTATCAAAGTGTTGTCGGTGGAAAACCGACATCTAAATCTTATCAGGCGTATTATCCGATGTCGTCGAATGCATGGAACATGAGGAGAATATCGACTATCGTGGACGAGAGGAAGAAGTGGCCACGGTTGCCATGGACTGGAATGATGAAGACGGTGAGTGCGGTAGAGAGGGACAGTGAACATTACTCGGTCCGATAGGTGCAAACGTCGAATGGTACAATGCGGGTGTCCAGTTTGATGCGTGACCTCGGCCTCGCACTAGGCAAGGAGCATGTTACGATGGAAGTGGCTCGGAATAGCTGGGCACTTCAATAAAAGCCGACGCGTTGAGCCGGTGATGCCTACCCAGGACGGTTGACGGTGGTGCAACATCATTGTTTTGTTGGTTCCTCATACGTACCATCGTGGACAGTAGCGATCAGGTAAAAGCACATTGGTTAGTTTGAAGAGGGAAGTGATCGGCGAGGTGTAGAGTGATGGTAAGGCCAGCGATGGTAATTGACAGAGAATGAGATAATGGTTTGGGGAAGAAAAGATGTAGGGGTTTGATTCTATTATCACGTGGGAAATGTTGTTTTAATTAGGGTAAAATTGGTTTCAAATTTAAAAATAGGATAAATATGATTGGGGTAAAAGAAAAGAAAGAGTGAGAAAGAGTATAGGTGGCGACAGGTATACAGGGAACATGTATGGGTTGTAAAATGGATTTTGGGTTTGGCTAAAGTGCGTCAGCCTTCATAGGGAAATGCTAACATGCACTGTTTTTAATGAAACAGTGCGCACGACGTTGGAACAAATTTTTCCAATGCCTAGCGCAATTGTTACTGCTCCTGGGTTTGAATTTTACAATGTTCGAATATAAATTTTGAAAATCTTCCTCGTTTAAGCTTGATTAAAAACATTTGGTTCCTGAAAATAAAAATAAAAATAAAAATTAAGTACTTGAAACAATAAAATAAAATGCATCGGTATTGAAAATGGGTTGCCTCCCATTAAGCGCTTTGTTTAACGTTGTTAGCTCGACGACTTGGTTCAGACTACAGGTTCTAAGAGAAATACTTCATCCACTTCATACATTTTTTCCAACTAAGAACTTCCTTATGAGAAATTATATGATCGTATAATTCTTTTCTCCTTGTAGAATTTGGCATTCTCATAGGTTTTCCTTCAGATCTTTTTTAGCTTTAAAAGTTTATCTGAAATAATAACTAGTGAAGTAGCATTTTCTCCTAAAAAGAAATTCTTTAAGTGTTATGGCATTTGTTTCAGTTCTATCTCAGGTGCATGCAAAACAGAATGACAGAACTTTAGACTTAGAAAGAATCAAACGTAAATCAGAATGAACGGAAAATAAATTTTCCAACTCCCAGATTTCCTCATTGTAGTCTTCTAACTTCCTGCATAGATCAAAATATACATTAGTTTCTACAAACTCATTTTCCAAAGGATCAAATAATATCAACATAATTTATGCTCGCCACTTTGTCTGGGTGTTTCATTGCCTTATACACATCAAATTTAACGATCTCACCATCAAACTCCATGGTTAAAGTCCTGCTTCTTACGTCAATTTTTGTGTGTTTTGTACTTAGAAAGGAACGCCCTAATAGAATATAGGAAGAAGTACTAGTGCAATCATTCTCCATGTCAATTACATAAAAATCAGTGGGAAATATTAAGTCATTATCTTTACCAACACATTTTCCAAGAGTCATTTTGGGTAGATGACAGATCTGTTAGCAAGTTGAATTGATATTTTTGTATCCTTCAAAGGCTCATTAGTAATCATTTTATAAACAGATAGAGGCGCCAAGATCACACATGGCTCATTTTATCCCAAATTTTACAGGGTATTACGAACATACCTTGGTCTTTCAGTTTTGGTGGCAATTTACGTTGGAAATCTGAGACATGTTCTCCCAGATTTACCCTCTCGATCCCAGTAAACTTCCTCTTTGTTATACAAAGGTCATTCAAAAAACCTGACATATCTTGGAACTTTTCGGATAACCTCAACGAGAGGTAGATTGATTTCCACCTTCCGAAATACATCTAATATTTTCTTTTCCTCAGCTTGTTTATCCTTTTTTACTAAACTTGGTGGAAAATATGGTGGCACAACATAGGGAGGTAGTGTTAGATCCGTTTGTTATTCATCTCTCTTCTTTTGGGATCCTGAGTCAATAACCTTCTTTTCTTTTTGGATTGCTTCATCTTATGAAACAGGTGGTGCGCAAACTGTACCACTTCAAAGAGTGATAGCACTGACATTCTCCCTTGGGTTTACCTCGGTTTGAGATGAAAGTTTACCCTGTGATTCCAAGCGTCCCACTGTCTGAGCTAGTTGGTTTATCTACTTATCTATCTATTGGAGGTGGGCTTCAGTATGAATCTGGAATTTTTCTTGAGAAAGAGCCAACCTCTCAATGATTGATTCTAATGTATATCCACCTATGTCTATCTGATTGTCTATCTCTTGGAACTTTTCCTGGGAATTTTCTAAGTCCCTGTGGATCGATCCATGTCTATATGTTTGTCTGTCTCTTGGAAGTGGGCTTCAGTATGAATCTGGAACTTTTCCTAGGAACTTTTCCTGCTTGTCTAAGTCCCATGTCTCCATTCGTGATAGAATAATAAAGAAATTACAGAATGCGCTCGTTTCATTGCTAATTCTAAAAAATAAGATCCTGCACGAAAATAAGCACAATACAACCAAATCAACAGTAATAAATCCATAATATCGAATAATAAACAAGCAAATATTATCAATTAAGAAAACTCATTATGGGCCTCATTTTTTAATATTTAGATTTGTCGCAGTCTATATACGTAACTTCTCGAACTCGAATCGTCTAGGGAGAATAATATTCATTTCTACCACTGAGATAACTCAATAAGTTTGAGTTTAGTTTGATAATTCAATGTTTCTATTCTTTTTACATTTCCTTTTTCTTTTAATTAAAATTGTGTATACTTTTTCATGACCAAGATAAATCCCAATGAAGTGGACAACCGAAATTCAACATATATTTTAATATGAAAAAATGTTAGAGTGAAATTGAAAAATCAATGAAATATCGAGGAATAATTTTGTTATTAAAAATATTAAATCTTTGAGGATTAGTCTTGCTATTATGTATTAAGTAAATAGTTTTTTTTAAATATCATGTGTCAAATTCTGACTGATCTAAGGGGTACACGTAAGATTTCGTCATGAAATAAACGAACTTATTAACAATTTAAAAAAATAATTTATAAAATTGAATAAAAATAATTATATGACATTTAAGGATTTGATATAATTCATATATCGAAGGATATTTAACTTTAAAATAAATTAAAAAAAACTTCACAACAAGACGGAAGAGTTGATTATTAGAATTTATTTCATATCAGGAATGCGTTTCTCGTATTAATTTTTAAAATATTGCTATTTTATACCTTAAAAATAAAATAAAAATATAGGTTAATTGGATTTAAACACAGGTTAATCAAATAATATATTGGGATCCCTTTTTGCTTTTCATGCAGGCTATTCTTTTTTTAGGTTTCAATGGATTTTGATGATAACTTTGTTGAAATTTCTTTTTCATGAATATTTGACGATATGGATTTATTTATTTTATTTATTTAGTTTATAAAAGAATCTTCTGCTAAATTAAAATAATGTCAAAGTTGTTGCCTCATCTTTTGGGTAGTTCTGTTGTACATTAGCTTAATATAAAGTTAAGGAAATGCGTAACTGGAGTCCACTAAAACGTTACCGAAAATGTTAATCTCTTTACCTAAAATGTTATTTTTTCCATAACATTTTCGGTTGCAACCGAAAATGTTAAAATGATTAACATTTTAGGTAACGAAATTAACATTTTATGTACCGTTCTACCGGAAATGTTAAAACAAAATTAACATTTCTGATAGCGTCTTTACTTAATCTTATATTAGGTTGTCTTTTCTTAAACATTCCATCTTTTGGAATAAATAATTTAGACAAAGAAGCCTTTCGTTTTGTTTTAGTTGGAAAAATGTTCACTTTTCCTTTTAGATGCTTTGGAACCCACTTTTTTCCAAATAAAATATAGAAATCATAAACATTATTTATCCAAAAAGAAAAAGAAATCATAAACATTAAAGAGAAACGATATCTTTGTATGGTATCATTAATTTATCAAGGCATGATCTTATTGCATTTAAAAAAAATTATATCGTTGTTTGATTTGAGTTGATCCAAAAGAGATTTACCCAATTAAGTTCCTTAAGATATTGTGGTTTTAATAGAAATTGAAACATTATATTTAAATTTTTTTTATCAAATTTTAAATCTAATCATAATCTTAATCTTATTTAGAGAGACATGAAAGGTGGATTTTAGGAAAAAGAAGAGGAGTGTTCCTAGTGAGTCTAATAACCATGACCTAAGGGAATATAAGTGTATACAAATGTGTTGTTTAAACTATCGACCAAATATACTTACTCAAATTTAGAGTTATTTATATATGATAAGAAAATGATGTTTTTGAATAATTATAATTTTATTAACTAAAGGAAAGCAGATAAAATTGCTACTAACAAAACACAAAGCAAGCATCTACCTGCTCATAAAAAGATACAGGAAGCAAAACTAAAAAAAAAAATGCTCCGGATATAAAAACAAAGAAAGTTGAAGAAAGCCCCTATACAGCCGATCAACTAATACCCCAAGCATCAGAGTCTAGCGTTTATCTCCCGGAACTACAGAGGCTCTATCATCCTCAAACGCACTTCTTCCCTAATTTCATGAATCAAAACTTCAGAATCCTTCTAATTCTCATTAAACACCCTATTTTTCCTTTCCCTCCATATACGCCAAACATCGGCACTCCAAGCAACCTTCAACACAACAAACATAAAATCTTTACTTTTGAGCTTTACAACTGCCCGTCAAATCTCCTGCCTCCATGTGTCTACTCTCTTCGCAACTCACAAAGGCTCAGGATGCCATCCCAAACCTCCTTCAACCAAAAAATAAATAATCTTTCGGTTCCATTTTATGAATTTTCGTGAAACTTAGATATTGTTTTATGTTTAGATCACTTCAAAGATAGACTATGAGCGTTGGGTGGTAGTATCTTTGAAAATTTTAAATGTTTATATAATTTAGTTTTTTTTTTATGATATAATTTTGCATCTTTAAAGTTTTATAATTTCACATCCAAAATTAAATGGAGTCTAACATTTTAATACGCTTTCTTTTTCAAAAAAATGAGTATTCAAATTTTCTTTTTCTTTTTTCTCCTCCTCTTAATACACAAAACAAAATTTGACAGATTTTTCAAAATAATGAGTATGCAATTATTTTCTTAAAAGATTTAGTGCATCCACCCGAGTTTCACACCCTTAAAATTTTTATATCACTCATTTTCTAATAATTTAAGGTGATTAAAGGTGATGCCTATTCTCGTACGAGAGGAAAACATAATTGTTGATCGACTCACAAAGCTTGCGAGAATCGAGCACAGGGAGTGTTTAATCGTCAAGAACCCACTACGGGAGGTTCAACTGTTATTACAGCTAGATAATAAATTGAATATTGCCCAAGGGCAAAGGTAATCTGTCTTAAGTTTCTACAGCTTTAGTTTATCAAAACATTTTTTTTAATCACGATAATGACTTGATGAATTCTTCTATTATTATTTTTAAATTTTATACTCTTAACGTAAAATCATATATCGTGTTTAATAAGTTATATGCCGTGGCTGTTGATTCTATGAAATTGCTTTAACAAATTCAATTAATTAATTTCCCCACCTTTTCATTATTTTATTTAATCACTTACAAACACTTTTATTTCCTTAAAACTGAAGAAATGCAAAACCGTAGAGTTAAATATAATATAGCACAAAGTAGTTCAATAAAATAATATTAATAGAAAGGCTAAAGGTTTGGATGAATCATACTTTTGTGTAGAGAAAATTAGGGTACATTTCTTAAACACGTTGTAGAATTAGCCAAGCTAAAGCCCGGTGGAACCCATGGTGCCGATGCTCAAATAAAAAAGAAGGGTTTAGCTGATTGGCTCACTCGGCTTCAAAACCCAATGCTTTTCAAGAGCTCCAAAACTTCTTTTCTTTTTAAACTTTTAACCACAATTAAAGAGGCCGACAAAACAACAAAGAAAATGGAAGATATTAGATATCCACTTAAATAACTGTTAAAGTATATGAAATTATAATTTTTTTTTTAATTTTGCTATAATATAAAAATAAATAATTTACTTTTTAAATTAATAAAAACTTTAATATAGAAACGATCATAAACGGAATAACCAAATCGAAGCAAGCGAATATGAGGTTCATCGTGCAATAAAGAACAAGGATCAGACTCACCTCGTTACTTGTTCCCTGATTCTTCCTAGCTGGAAGAAATTATTAGAGACGTCGAGAGACGATTGGTAAACGTCAACGGACGTGAGGCACAAGTGTTGACGACAAATCGGAAGGACCCACTAGGATTTGCTGTTGGGTTTAATTGGGTCATGTAATCGGGTCAGATAGATAACTGGGTTAATTTGATAATTCGGGTCAGCCGATTTTAGTTGATATTGGGCTGGCTGTAGGGTAATTGGATAGGGTAATGTAATTTGACCATCAATTGGGTCGGCTTCGTGATATAAATAGGCTTTGGGTGGTGGTTGATTGTAATGGATCTGGACCAATGTAATTGAAAAGCTCATTGGCCTTAAATAGATGATTTTCAGGCCCCCAAAATGACAGTTTATTTTAAGGTATTCAATGACCAAACCTAGAGATGTAAACTGCCCAACGGAACCATAACTCAGACCTTTTAAATTTGCCATACTCCAATTTTAAAGTAAATAACATATATGAAATTGTGACTACAGTTGTCCATCTTTATTCATCGTTGTGAAACAAGAATAGAACAAACATAAAAAGATAATGAATTCGTTCTATCACATTAGATCTATATATTTTTCTCTTTAATATAAAAAGGGTCATAAATGAAATAACCAAATGGAAATGAATTTTGGGCTCCTCGTGTAACAGGGATCAAGGATCAGATCTCCTCCCGTCACAACCCCTGTTGGTTGATTTTTCCTAGTTGGAAAAATTTGTTGGAGACGCCAAGGGAGACCAGCGGGTGTTGGCAATGACGACGGATGAAGGCTTGATGATGTGTGAAATGATATAGCATACGTGCAAAGGAACGCATCATACCACGTAATAAAGTGGACATGATTAAGTATCGGATGTCGAATCCACAAAGATAGAGCCCCAATGCAAGTGCAATACTACTGACAAGAGATAACAAATAACAATGATTGATATAAGAGATGAACTATGCTATAAAACTACTCCTAAGGAAATCTGTAAATATGATGCAGTAATGAAGGCAATGGAAAAGAATTGAACATGGCTACGCTACAGTAAATGAAGAGCCGACGGTGCTAAAGAAGAATTGCGAATGACAGGGAATTGAGTTAGCAACCAGAATACACTAAACTATTAATCACAACATTTAAAAAAAAATTACATTTCAGCCACTTACATTATCGACTCATTAATTACGATCAAAATGATAGTTGAGTGACTAAACATATTGTTTTTGAGTTTTTCATGAAGGAAAGCCAAGTATGGCTGGTAATCTCATAAGGCATTGGAATAAACAATTTTCTAGAAGCTTGGTCAATACTTTTGTAAGCGCTTTAAAGTAACTAGGTTGATTGTGCGAGAGTATTGGAGGGATAGATGCAGCTAAGGGATATGCAAGGAGTGGTTTAGGTTAGTGTCCCATGAAGAAAATCCACAAGGTCTTTCTTGATATCCGTCCAATACTTTGTTTGGATTGAACCCATCAACCCATAACGTTTGTTGTACATATTACATATGTAGACACCCGTTTTTGTTCGGGTCTTCTTTTATTTATTATTATTATCATTATTATTAATTTACAATATTACATTTTGTAGGGCCCAATTGAAGCCCAAAATATACAACCCAGAATTAACCAGAAGCCACTACAACAGCCCACTACAAGCAATCCGACCCGAAGAGAGATCCGGCCCGAACTGACCCATTTAACAAGTCTACACATATTAGGGTTTTTACCTTAACATCTCAATCAGTCGCCACCCTCCCAACCGTCAGATATGTGAGGATCAATAGCCCAGATGCAACAAGGATTAGGGTTTTTTAACCCTAAATATCATCCAACCGTCGCGACGAAGATGAACCGCCCATTGGCGGCACGTGTACCGTTTCTACTCTCAGACGCGCGTACACCCCACCAGTAGCCTCCTCAGCCGCTTGAGTCACCGTCATCATCATCCACGTACTCCGAACAATACCCAAATCCAACACAAAATTAGAAAAGTCAGAAAAAATCAATACCCATTTTTAAATGTTATTAAATCCCGAAAAATCGGGATTTTCTAACAACCCAGTCAAAAAATATGATGGTTCCCTATCCTAGAGGTAATCATCATCTCACCCAACTGAAGAATAAAGAAAGAGAAGGCAACCATTTTCAACATATAACATTCGATGAGAAAAAAAACAAGAAAAAAAATCGAAAAAAAGAAAAAACCAAAGAGAGCCTTACCTTTCCTTGCAGATCGGAGATCCACCGGAGTAAGGAGAGTTTACCACTGAAGGTAAAACCCTCTTGTTCTTAGGTTTGTGAGTTCTAGGGTGAGTTACGTTTTGGGTAAGGATTGGTTTTAAGAAAGAGAGAGTGAGGAGTGAGGTCGATGGCGTTTGTGTCTTTGTTTTCGGGGCTATCTATGGTTTTCCTTCGCAATGGAAGAAAGGAAAGGGGAGGAGAGTTGGGAGAATAATTTTCTCTCTCTCCTCGGGCTTAAGGGAAACATATAAGAATGAGGGCTTTGACATTTAAGGCTTAGATTTTATTATATATATGTAATGTAAAACGACGTTGTGTATGTGGGGGGCTTCAGTGTATTTTCGCACATGGGCTAATAGCATTTTAGGCCCCTGGATGTTTGTATCACTCTTTTTGGCCATTAATTATAGTTCGGTATTATTCTTTTCAAGCGTTTAATTTCTCACATTTACATTTAAGTCACTAGTATATTTATTACGTGTTGTTTGTTAATATTTAAATATGGCTCTGTATTTTTTATTCTTTTGTTTTAGTCATCCTTTAATATAAATACTTTTAGGTATAATTACTATTTTCTCTTTTATGTTTCTGTTTTGTTCCATTCTAAACCTTAATTTTATTTAAGGGTATTTTAGTTTCCAGTACCTGTATTATTTATGTGATATTGGCTCTGGTTTATTGGTAATTATTGTTTAGTCTTTCAAGTTTTTGTTAGTGCTATATTGGTCCCTTATTTATTTGCACTTTATTATTATTATTCTTACTTTGTTTTTTATCACCATGGTTTTTAATATGAAAAGGGAGAAAATTTTATTTTGAGGGAAATCTACGAAGATATCTCCCAACTACAAGGGAAGGTATATTTTCGAGGATTTTTCGCACAAATATTTTTATTTTTATTTAATATTTCTCTTTGCTTTACCTTTATATTTATTTATTTTGATTATTTTTCAAATCTTTTCATTTTTTATTTTGGTTTAATTTTAACTTATTTTATTTTGTGGAAAATGCTAAATAATATCTTTTTGTGAGGGGAATCTATGGGAAAGTCTACTAACTACAAAGGAAGTGCATTCTCGATGATTGTTCACACAAAAAGGCATTCTTTATCCGAATATTTCTATAATCTAATATAATATTAATATTATATATAATTTTTAAAAAACTATAAAATTAAAGAAACATTATTTTGTGAGGAGAATCCATGAAAAAGTCATAACTATAAAGGAAGTGCATTTTCAAGGATTGTTCGTACAAAATGATGTATTTTCTCTTATAAACACTACTAGAAAAACCCCTTTAATGATGCTCATTGTGCGTCATCTATGGGTGCAGATGACACACAAATGCGTGTTATTGAAGCCACCGACATAAATCTCATATGACACGCAATTGTGTATCATAAATCTATGACGCGCATTTATGACATGCATTTATGACACGCATTTATGACACGCATTTATGACGCGCATTGAACGTCATTGAAGCCCCCATCATAAATAAAGATGACACACATTTGTGTGTCATAAATTAATGACACGTATTTATGACTTACATTGTGTGTCATTGAAGCCCCCGTCATAAATGAAGATGACACACATTTGTGGGAATTTATCAGTATATGCACTCAGTTGCTTTCCCATAATTATCAGTATAAATAAAAGAAATTAAGCACCTTTTAGTTAAACATAATCAACATAACATAAGAAACATGATAATTGTGGGAATTTACAATGTAAAAGGGACAATCCAACCAACTGGTAGTTGCAAATGAAAGAAAGCCATATGGCTTCAAATTAGATCGTCATTGTTCTTAGACTCTTGGAACATAGAAACATGGTCCAATATTTTACAAAAAGAATATGATGGCTAAATAGAACAGAACATGGTACCATTTAGCTTGAAGGATTTTATTACTACATTAATTCTCATGTTTTTTAGAGTGAAGAAACCTAGAATCTTTCTTATCGTCTCCTCATCACATAAATCATAGACATAGTCTCCAAAGATAACATGTTCTGGTGGATAAACAAGCAAATTTTCTGCAACAAAGAAACAAAAGGAATAGTTAATGGAATGCATCAACAAAATACCATAAATTAGAAATCAATATAGATTCCTAGTTATATTTATCAAAAACAACATTAAATATCCATTCTTGAGGGGAAAGTTGATGCAATAATTTAAGATATTGATAAAGATAACCAATGATGTCAAATATCTGCAAGAAAAAAGTGAAGCACCATTGACAATTGTGGCTAAAAAACACAAATTTCGCAAAGCAACCTTAAAAAATATAAGCACATACAATATAGAAACAAAATACAGAAACAATCACAGTAGAAGTAACTAACTAGGTACATTTTATTATAAAATTGAGCTGCCAATTACAGAAACACAATGAGAAGATAAAGAAAACCAATATCCTCATAGAAATTTGAGATGATTTTTTCATGCGCATTTGAATGGCACTATATGTAATACCACATAAAATGAAAAACACTAAAGAAGTTTTAGCCACTCTTATTTGCTTAGAAGATGAAACAACATATGCTACCTTTTCCAAACCACAATCTGTAAGATGAATATACATGCTAAAGATATAAGCTACAGAAGATCGCTGCATTCCATCATCCTAAACACTAATTTGGGGAATGGTGAATGTCTCTTTTAAATCAATAAAATTCCCGTCAATTATGAATTGTCCTATTCTCTTATGCTATGTTTGGCCTAAAGGGGAAAAATAATTTAAAAAAAAGTGTCGAAAAAACAAAAAAAATGAGAGAAAATAATTCGAAAAAGTAATAAATTAAAGAGCCATGAGTTAGTTTTTCCAGTTTAAGAATTAAAAAATGTTAAAAAATGATTGAATTCGAAAGTAGGAAGATTTAAAACTTATCCGAAGAAAACTTGAAATTGGAGAAAATACTTAAAGAAAAAGACATTAAAAATTGTAACACTAATTAAAAAAAACTGTTGTAATAATTTGCATTAGAAAAGAAGAAACTAGGTTATATAAAGATAAAAATATCAGAAATGAACTAAGGGGGAGCGTGTAGCTCTTAAAATTTTAAATCTCTATATGTTTAGATAATTTCTTTGTATTTTTTATCGAAAATCAATTTTTGCTTCCTAAAATATTATAAGCTTGTCTCTCTTAACATTTTAAAAATTTGTCTCTTCTAACATAAAATCTTGCATCCGTCCATAAAATAATTGATTGGTTATATCAAAATAAATAGCTAAACAAATGGCAATTACATATATGATTTTATACATTGTACATCTTAGAAAAAAAACAATACCTTATACATTAATCCCTAACCAACCAAGCCAAATGCCATATACTAAAGAGTTGGTTTACAGTCATGTCAACCCTAAATTTTGTATTGGAGTAGGGGTCCCAACCCGTGTTTGGAAGGAGGGAAAATAGTATACTTCACTTAAGTAGGGTCCCAACCTTATAATAATCCTTACAAAAACTATTTCTCAAAAAATAAATTTTAAAAATTAATTATATTTTTCTTAAATATTTTTAATATCGAGGTTGTGTTGTGTAAATTATATTTTATAATTTTTTATTATTGAAATTAATTTTATTGATATATAATTATATTTTGCAAAATTTTGCATATATATTAAAATATTTTATTTTTTATAAGTAAATTAAATTAAGATTTAATGTTTTATCTTCTCCTTGTAGCTTCGTAACTAATGATTTAATTGATTTGTGATGGATTTAAAAAATTATTTCTGATGCTCATCTGCAATTCACTAAATCAGAAATGGAAGTCCACGTAGAAGATGCAGAGAAATATCTGAGAATGCATGTTATCTTCTTCAAGTTTAGAAGATGCTATTGTACATGCAAAATGAGAAATGAAATAAAAGAACAATGAACAAATAAGATCTTTGTGGAGTTGTAACATGTATGTCGTATACAGTGGCGAAACATTATTAAACAATATCTCATTTCTATTTCAATTTGGAAACTATTTTATAAGTTGTTGGAAATGAACGCCAAGTAAAATATAATTGAATATTTTAGTGATTAAAGAGAGTGTTGTTCTTCTTAAAAGTTTCGAATTTTAAAAATTATGTTTGTAGTATGTGTGCACGTTGTCAACGATTAAGAAATATTCTAAATAAATATTATATATTTTATAATCACTGTAAACTATTTTAATATATATATATATATATATATAATTTAAAGCTGTAACCAAAAAGAAAAAAAAAATTACGACATTACAATTAGCTAAAACGATGAACGATCATTTGAGTTGTCATCATCAACGTAAAAGATGTGTCGGTGATGGTAATTGATTGGATACTGCTTAAATGTCAAAGCTTTGAAGACTTTAAGTTGAGATAGTAAAATAATTTACCTATTTTCAACAGATTGTAAAATTACTTTTGACTTTATTTTTTTCCCCTTCAACCATGAAAAATTATAAAGAAAGTTTTCCTTCAAGCAATCCTACCCTAAATGCACATAAACAAAATGCATTGACCCCATTTCTTTATTTTGCCATCTGTAAAGATGGGTGACGACGAGATTGTTCATTTTACCCACCATCAAAATTTTAATCGGAAATTATTTGCATAAAAATAATTCGACATAAAACATGGGCTGAAATCAAAGTTGACATTAAATTATGCAAAGAAAATGAACAACTAACCATTAAAATAATCAGATTATAAATAAAATAAATTAAGAAGGAATTGAAATAGCGACTTTTTTCCTTTTTCTATTTTTTTATTTTATGAAACAATGCAGCAGAGAGAGGCGCCCCGCCGCTTGAAATTATTGTATTCTAAACCAATGGACATAAAATTAAATCAAAAGTTGAATGGTGAAATGATTAATACATACCATATTTGAAATAAAATAAAATATAATTTTCAAGTATTTTCCTAAAAAAGTAATCCAAATAATAAAAACTATGTTAACCAAAAGTATGGTTGTAAACCAATGGTAATTAATACTTGAGTTCGACTTATCTCGTTTACACCCCTATGTGGAGTTAAACTAATCATAAGAAATTGGTAATTACTGATTAAATTATTTGGATGTGGTAATGTTTTTTTTTTCACTGGATGTGGTAATGATTAATATAAATGAATATGTGCAAACACATTGATTCTCCCAGATAACATAAATCTAGTGTGAACTAGCAAATCCCCTGATTCTTTTTAGAATTTGTAATGTGAAAAAAACTAATATTTAACCTTTTCAAATTTAAAAACTATTGTTAAAAAGTAAACTATTGTAAAATAAAATATTAACAATAATTAAAAAATAAACTAAAGATAGTTTTCAATGTTAACATAGTTCTTAATATTCATACATCTACGTATTGAAGTGGGATTCAGTTGGTATTACTTTTTTCACAAAGATGAATTAAAATAAAAAATATGTCTCATCAGGTATAATCATACCATCAAAAAATATTATTTCAGAAGAGTAAAGAAAAATATATGTAAGAGATAAGAGAAGCTAAGAAAAAATTGTTGTGATAATTGTTTCATTTAGAAGTGACAATTACCTTTTATTTATGGACTCAGTTTTATAAGTTCAAACTGAGGACAAATAAGTAAAAGAATCAGTAACTATTATAAAAATAATTCATTATTATATATATTATTTTAATAATTAGTATTTTTGTAATGATTAATAATAGTCAATTATAATTATATATATTATTTTAATAATTAACAGTTAGGTAATCTCCTTTTTTTTCAATTTTTTAATACAACAATGTATGAAAGCAAGGTAATAATTTAAAGTAATATGCTTGTAAATTTAGTAATCAGAACTTTATATATATAGAAAAATGGAATTTAAAAAACAGGGAAAAGGACATGAAAGTTTACTGGACGAAAGCAGATAAAATGAACTGCAGTTCTGTCATGCCAAGGTATCAACTGAAATAGAGTTGTATCACAATGATTTCTATCTTCTGTAACCTTTTTGTCGGCCCCAGATGGTAGGACAGCAAAAACACCAGCAGCAGGAATTAATTACTATGCCAGGGAGGCCCTGGGGATTATTAGAGCTTCAAGTTGGATCCAGTTTTTGTCCAATTTTATCCTACCCAAGAAATATACTCTTTTCATGTAAATTTGACTCGATTTTAAAGGATAATTTAACTCGAAAATTATTTGAATTTTGAATAAAAAATTTATATTGATTCTTCTGATCTAAAATACACACACATACATATATATTCTACAAAAAATATAAAATAAAACTTTAATTATAAAATAATGAGAGAGGAGTATTACAGTAATTTTCTCTAATAATGAAAAGAAAATATATAATTATCTATAGTTGGAGTAGTGATTTTTCATCTTAAATCTGATATCATCCTTTACAATAATTACCTAATTTGAATTCATTTTTTTAAAATATGATTCTACTAAATTAGGTGGGATCAAAATCTTTCAAATTTGACGATTAGCTAGCTAGCAGAGCTGAAATTCCAGTAGTAGGAACAAATGATCCAGCCAATGTAGGGGACAAACTTTACCGATTAGCTTTAATGGATGCTGTTGCCAATAATTATTTTATAATGGGCAAAAGGGCTTTTTTTTTATGTGAGGAGACTATTATTCCCTCGCACTCTAAAAAAAAGTCACTTTTAATTAATTTTTCTACAAATTAATTATTTCTTTTTCTTAAGTGATGGGGTGTGGTTCCAAGCTCCATAAAAGTTTATGGACTGTATCAAATCAAAGAATATATATTAAGATCATATGATCAACTCTTTTGCTTTTGCTTTTTATTTTGATTGTGGAACATCGCATATACATGGGTTTTAGCTTTGATCACGTGCGTTTTGGTCCACTTCATGAACATATAGGATATTTGATTTTTCTTTTCCAATGTTTACGCAAATTATATGATCGATATGTAATATTCTTTAATTCATGTTCATTTTATGATTTATCCTGAGATTCATGATTCCTCTTTCAATAATATCTTTTAAAAGATTTAAATTTAAATTTCTTTTTATAATCATCAATATATAATCAATTGATAGATTAATTTATATTAGGTATCACATAGATTCTATGGGGTGAAATTCCCAACTCAAATTTCTCCATTTATAATGTTATGATTCGAATATTTGACATTACTTAAAGAAACTAACATATCATCTCATTAGACCAATCAGTTGTTGATTGATTATTTTTAGAATACGGTATCCTTAAAAATTATATGATATGCAATGATTGAGAATATATATTTGTTTTCTTCTATATGGCTTTTGATTCTTTTCGAACATAAAAAATTTACTTCCACTCAACAAATAAAGTAAAATAAAATTCCACAAATAAACATCTCTCAACATACACAAAAAATTATAACTTCCAAGAGATTTGGCACTTAGAAGGGATTGAATTTAACTCAGTTAGTAAGTGGTTATACATTATATAGGAAAATATGGAATCGAATATGATTATACATTTAATATTTTATGATTTTTTGAATAAAGATAGGTTAGATACTTAGATAATATAAATAATTTACCAAAATATATTTCCAAAAATAATTACACTTAAAACCCAACGACTGTGGCAAATCGTCAGGACCCAACCTTTTATAACAACTGCATGTGTTGTATGAATTATCACCACAGTTTCCAGATTTAAAGTTCATTTCTTGTTCTTTTATTTTCCATCTTGCATTGCAATATTATTTTGATTCTATGCCTATATATACATAAACTCAAAATAAAACTAATAAAAGGACAGAAATCAAATGTAAAAAAAAAACAAATAAGCAGCTTGTTACATGAACCCTAATGGATAAAAATGAATCAGATTGAAATTTGAAGAAAACTGAAACCCACCGAAAAATAGTAGTAATATAACACACTGTACTTTGATGATGATCAACCGTCGTTTGGAGACTCGGAGATGCTCTCTAAGTGAGGTCTCCACACCCCGACTCGACCCCTTCTTCTATCCCTTTGCGTCGACAGCTTCTCCGAAAGTATCTCGCTTAAATACCGATCCGATACCAAGAGATTCGTCGTTGAGTTCGTGTTATTCTTATCAGAATTGCTCCTGCTTCGGCTGCGACTGTGGTGTCGGCTCCGAATGTTGCTGCTGTCACCACCGTTGTTGTTATTGTTGTCGATGTTATCTCTTTTTTTCTTCTTGGTTGATTTCCATTGTGTCTTTTCGGGTGTCGAAGGGAGCGGTATAAGGAAATATATCTTCCCGCGTTGCAAGTCGGCCTCGGGTGGGACGATTACGATTTTCGGGACCATCCCGTCATCGGAAGCAGAGGAGGAGGGTTTCTTAAGAACATGCTTAGGGTAGGCCTTCATGATTTCGCCGGCTTTGACGGTACCACTGATTTCCTCGACGCGGCCACTGGAGTGTACTATTCGAATCACATCGAATGCTCCACATGGAAGAATGCAGATATGCAGCACCTAATTGTGTTTTTCATAGCTCTTTATTTTGATCTCTCATAGAGAGAGAGATAAAAAGAATAAAGTAGATGAAAAAGAAAAGAGGGAGGAAATGAAGGAATGAAAGAGAGAAATATAGGAAGAGAAAAATAAAGAGATGTGTCTTTTTCTTTTGCTTTAGCTAACTCAAGGAGAGTTGGGAATCGGTTACATAAAGGAAAAAGAAATTAAAATATTTCATTTTTCTGCCTTTTTGAGGGAATTTCTTCTTCTTCTCCCACTGACATCCATGGCATGAATAATTGCACCTTGGTCTGTACTTTGCCTTTTATTTTATTTTTTACTTTTTATAGATGTACTTCACTGGGCCCAATTTTCATTCACTTCACTAAGATGAATAATTTTGGGGGAGAATTTATGGGTGACACATGTTGTTGCATGATTGGAACTGCCAAGTAAGCTAGAACAAGAGCCTCTTGCCAAGCGTGGCCTAATGACACGTGTTTCAATTGTCTCATGCCACGTCATTTCCTAACCCAAAATTCCACTATTAGGTGAGGAAGCTAATTGACTAGAATTGAAAATAAATTGGCCATTATAGATAATTAGTTAGTCTATAGGATGATGTATCATATCTCTTAACTAAATTAAAATTCTAATTTTGATATGTACAAATAGAATAAATTAGATTGATATGATCATTTTTATATTAGACCTCTATAATATTTGATATGGATTATTTGATTAAAAAATTAAATGCTGATAATTACTAGAAAATAAAATAAATTGAGCATGTTGTGAATGGAGACGGGGGAACTGATGTTTAGAGAAGTCTTCATTTTGAGAGAGTGTGAATTGTGATCTTCCTATATCCCCAAGCAATATCATATGGCTAATGGTAGGGGTATTTTTTGTGGTTTCAGTTTTTTTTTTCTTTTTTCGAGTGCTTTGACTATATTTTGTTATGGTAATTGTCTAGGCACCCTTCATTTTCACTTTCCCATATATGGTTTCATTCCAATTTTTAATTTCTTTTCGTATAATTTTCTATGTTTTTTAAATAACTTAAGATGATTGTAAGATAATATATGTTTAAAATCTTTCTTAATCATTAATAACACACCCTACATACGTAACTATTTGAATTTAAATTTTCTAATGAGAATAATATACCTTTTTACCATGTGACTACCCAATAGATACAAAAATATAATATAGAATATTTTTGAACGATTAAATTTTCATATTAAAATTATAATATATCCTATCATTGTATCTGATATTTATAAACGTCACATATATAATAATTTTATATATTTTTTCGTAAGTAACCATGAGACCCAGAGGAAGAGGAGAAAAGATCCAAGCTAATCCCTTAAAAATAGGGTATTAAATGGTTGAATTTGATGTTTTATAATTTCATTTTCATTTGTGGGGTCCATAATTAAAATGGGTATGACCACATTGAGAACTAAACAAAGGTTAACAGTTAAATGAAGACTGTTAAATCTTAGTAATGTCCCATCCAAGCTGCCCTACCAATTAAATGATTCGGATGTACATGTTGGTGGGTAACATGTGATAATATGGAGAAAGGAGGGTCCATTCAAATTTACAAAGGATTTTTTTTTTTAGTTTTCTTGAAAGAATCTTGGCAAAATTGCTAAATCCAATCACTTTTTCTTTCATGAGAACTTATTTGACTGCTATATAATACCTTTTAATCACTTTATATATGGATTAAATAAATTACTAACGGATATATGATAAATATAAAAATCCCCCCCCCAACTACACATTAATCACATCGAGGATATGTACTTCATAACATATGCTGTTTTTGGAAGAATTCCTTTTTTTTTGGGCTTAAACAAATCAATTTTTATTTGGAGATTTGATTGAGTTACAATTTTTATTTGTCTTTTTCATTGTCTTGTAAATCACTTTTACATTCTTTGAATTAATTATGAATATCTAATGTGTAACCCTCAGACTGATATGGGTGACCCGATTCGATCCGAAGTATCACATTAAGGCCACCGGAGCTACAACTTAAAAATTCTGGAAAAAATAATTTTTTTGTTAAAACATATAAAATCATAAAATAATTTATAAATACAAAAGTAAAATTTCTCAATATTTAAAATAAAACAAATTCAGACTTATATGTAAAACAAATTACAACCTACATTCCCCTAATCCCATGCACCATACTCCGCAAGCAACGCCGGTGGAACTCCTTTACTGATGTCAAAAGCTACACTGGTTTGATTCTTTCAACCTGAAATAGTGAGTCAAAGAGTGAGCTTTGGGAAGCTCAGTAATACAATACTACCAATTGATACTACATGACATACATATAAATGGAAAGCCATAAAATTTCCTTATTGACTCAGACTTATACATGTTTTCAGAATAATCTGCAATACCACTGATATTTCTTCGAGTAACAAGTATGAAGATTACAGTTTAGAGGAATCGTTTAGAGATCCAGGTTCAGGAAATTAGAATAGTGTGTCTAGTGTGTTCCAACCAAAACCAGTAAAAAGATATAAATCTTTTTAAAACAGTAACTGTTTAAAACATGTTTTCAAAACCATAGTGGAACCCTCCAACCGTACACTATACAGTTCCCCAAAACTGTTTCATAAGGGTTTACCCTAAGCACACAACAAAGGGAGCCACCCTAAGGGAATGCCTTGGGGCCCGAGAGCCTACCCAAGAATGATCTTGTGGCCCTACCCAAGAATGTTTCGGGGTCGTAGGGCCTACCCAAGAAAGATCTCGGGGCCTCAAAGCCTACCAAAGGGTCGACTTAGGTCCATAAGATTTACCAACTGGATCAGGGTTGAACCTCCATACTCCATAATTCTACCCATATAAAATCCAATAGAAATCAGTTTTAACAGTAAACCCATAATATCTCGATCGTGATCCAGTAAAATCTCGTAAACGTGACAATGAATAAACCATATAATTTCCCTCCACTTGTACACCATATATAATCCCATGATTAAACCAAGGGAGTGCCGGGCCTGAGAGTCTACCCAAGAAAGTTTCTCGGAGCCTACCCAAGGGTCACCTTAGGTCCGTAAGGATTTACCAGCTTGATCAAGTTGAACCTTCAGCCTACCCAATAAAGTCCCAATAAAACAGTTCAAGTAGTAACCAGTGAAAATAGAAAAACATGGTTCATAAACTAGTAACTTCCATGATTCCATAAATCATGAAAAATCATATTTTTCAGTGAAAACTCATATTTTTCAGTGAAAACCGTGATCAGAGAACACATACCATGTTGCCATGGTTCATAATCCTCATAATCTAGAAAATCAATAAATTTCGGTAAAATACATTTCAAAATATATAAAACAATCATGTATTACATGGGGAACACACTAGAGGATCCAAGTATTTTTCAGAGGCACATAATAGTTATTAGGAAAACATGAAACTTATGTAATTTGATCGGATTCGAGGAACGAGGTCCTATTGAAATGGATCGATTAACAATGGATCTAATCAGACATTTAAAGTTGATACTTTTGAATCACACTATGATTCAGGTGTTCATGAACCTTTATACAGAATAATTCTAGATTTAGGTTTATTGAGAGTGATTCCATTACCCAAACAATCAGGTGTATTCAAGATTATGTATTAAATTATTAGGATTTTAAGTCCAATTGAACCAAAGATCCCAACACAATAATACTTGTCGATTATTCGGATTGTTATACTTCATTATTATTCACTTCTTATTACTGACTACACCAGTTGAACTGATCAATATCAGAATCTTCCTTGATCAGTTATTGAGGAGACGAGTATGTATTCAAGTGGTATTTTTTTCTTTTTGTAATGCAACGATATCAATACATATCAACTTGCTTGATCTAGGGTTTAAAACCCTTGAGGGCGGTACAACATACAAGTTTATCAACGTTTCCAGACTTGTATAAGTCATTCCTTAATTCTAGGCCTTTAAGGTATTTAGGTCATTTAGTAGTTAAGTCTATTCCGATTACTTTAAAATTTTCATAGTAATTCAATCATTTCTGAAATTCAAATACATACAATTTTTCCAATCCATTCAACTTGATAATATAATTTAGTCATTTCATGAAATTCAGACGTGTACAATACCTTCAATAATTCAGTCTCTGGGTGTTATCTCAAAAAATAGAACTTCTAGGTCGTTTGGTATTCGAGGTTGACTTATTCATTTCAGAGCTAAAGGATTTAGTTATTGCAATGCTTAGATGTTCCTTGGGTCAGTTTATATTTCAGGGGCATTCTAATATAGATCTGAATTTAAATACATGATTCTAAGGTTCAAGTGTAACAAGATATGAGTTCTCAGGTTGTCTCCATTATCATATACATATATTGTGCTTAACACTTTAAGCTTATCATCGTCATTTCATTCAAATCTATGAGTGGCATACTTTTGATAAGTTAGGCTTGAATACAATCTAGTTCCTTTAGCGTTCAGGGTATTTTGTTCCTTTGACCATTGGATGTTATTATAGTTATTACAA